GAGCTTACCGATGAATGATTAATGATGTTTAAAACTTGCCAATTAAATGGTGTAGAAAAGCTGACATCATGACAAAAACATCTTTAATGTTGAACTTGTGAAAATTACCCTGTGACCATGAGAAAACAAGAAAGTAAAAACTTCTACCTGCAACAGTATTTCAGTCTCTCCCTTCATCCTGCAGAGAAATGATCACAGCGCAACCATCTTTTTTGATTTATCCCATACTTTTGATGTATTCACTCTTTCCTTGTTTAACCCACATGCTGTCATTATCTCCAATAAGCAATCTGCCTTCAAAATATTTCCGAATATTCTCTGCAGGAGTCCTGATCGAGAATTAGTTTCTAGTATTACTTTTTAAACAGCAGAGGGATCTGAATTATGTTTTGCCCTCCCACGCTGAAATTCAGACCTTTTTCTGCATGTATTTTTCTCGTATTAATCCATCAACTGCCAGCTAGTTCTCAAATATATAGAAGAAACTTGTTTTAAGAGTTTGTTGGGTCTGTAAAGGCGTTCAAGACAATTATCTCGGCTTGCTTGAAGGGTCTGGAAGATGATCTACGATTTTATAATGAGTCTGCATGCGAGAGTGAGAGTGGGCTGTGGTTTATATTCCACCCTGCGGTATTAATTCTGTTCCTCATCTGATTAGCGAGACTTCCTGTAATGCAGTGACATAATGCAGATGTTCATAGGTGGCCAGTGAGAGGATTAGTCAAGGTCTGGTGACATAAAAGGGAGAAGTTTAATAAATACTGCACACAGTGAGCGTCTCTTGTGTGTGAATGTGTTGTCCGTGTGCAGTGTGCCAATGCTAAGTGAAGGGAGCAGAGGTTGTCTGTCACCTGTCACCTGACTGCTCACCTGTGAGTAGGCTACCTGCAGCTGTCTGCGCCATCTGTTTCCTACATGCTTCTGATATTATGCATGGTAATTTTCTAAAACCAGGAGCAGCGAACACCTAAAATCACATATTATATACAACACAGTCCATCACACATCTTACAATAATACAAATATATCTGTTTATTCAGTAATATGTAATAATAAGACACACCCCCTTCCTCCTCCTAACCCAGAGATGTATAATTGCTCTAGAAACGTACACAGGATGGCAAGTTGGAGGCCAGGAGAGGGTGCTAAGGAGATCCTGTGCTCTGTAAAGGGGACTCCTTGCCTAGTATTTCCAAAGTGGCATGCATGCAGTAGAGTCCCAGTACTCTCCCAGGTGTGTCGGCTTTCAGAGCAGCACATGCTGGTTAGGGGCGCAGGGGATGGCCAAATGACCCAGGCTGTTAGTCTGTGGTCAGCCTTCGTTGAGTCTCCGCGCAGGCCTCCATGCTGATTCGTAGGGCAGGTGTGTGTTGCTCCGCCTCCAGTGGCTGTCGGCCAATCAGCCTGTTCCTGCATTCACTGTAAGATCAGGGGCGGGGCTTAAGCAGGAAGCCGCATTCCGTTTGGCAGTTACTGCCACACTCAGGCAAGCCCTGGCTAGTGGAAGACTTTGCTTTTTCGGAAGACGAGAGGACAGGGAAGAAAAGGACTGGCTTGTTTTCTTTTCATTTCGTTTGGAAGACCTGATCAGAAAAGGGTGCATTGGCTTTTAGGTTTCAGTTTGAGATTTTTTTCTTTTCTTTTTTGCTTAAAACTCGCAAATCATGTGTTTAAGTATAGGTAAGGAGGTCTTAAAAGTCCAAGCAGTCCATTAACGGCACAGCTTGATGAAAAAAAATAAATAAATAAAAAGAGAAAAAAAAACAACATAAAAAACAAGTTCGCACAAGGGAAAATATAGCAGTAAAAGAAAACAATCAAACAAATACAAGGTTTCAGGTTCATACATATTTTCCACTAAATATAAAATCAAATTTCAAGGAAGTACCCATCAGTTCTTTAAAATGACATTTTTTACTGCGGGCAAAATGGCCTTCGGTTGCAATTAATATTACAATTTAATAAAAACAAATACAAAAAGGAACTTAAATCTGTACATGTCCAAAGTCCTTATGGCTCACAGCAGTTTTGGCAAGACCAGGCAATCCATCTCCCCAAAAGCACCCATTTACAGTACTGTCATCATTTTTTGATTGCATTTAATATTACTTTTTAACCATTCTTTGATTTATATACACATATTGTTCTCTTTTACTCCTCTGAGATAGATAGTATGAAATCTATTTTTCGTCACAAAAATACAGCATGAAAATTTCATAAGTGTTCCCTTGATCGTCTCACTCTTTTTGCATGCTTGAATTGAGGGCAAATGGAACAGAGGGTGGACTCAATGTGTCCTTGAGAACTTGCCCTGATTTAAAAGAGAGAGCGAGAGTCAGGAGAGATCTGATACCATAATACTAGCAACTTGACAATACCAAAATTGGGTTTGCGATCTGAACGTCACTTTATCTCCATGTTGTCCTTTCCTCCGCCGCTTTCTCACTGACTGGATAAAGTCCAACAAAAAAACAAAACAAAAAAAACCTCTCAGTTCATCGTCTACTAATGTCCTCGGGTTCCTCGGTTGAACAGGGAAATTATTGCTCACAGCGCTGGGCTATTGCTCTCCAGTTTGGCTTTTATTGAGTCAATCGATCGTTACTTCGCTCTATCTCTCTCTCTCTCACTAGTACACATACAACACAGAGCTGGAGGGAAGGTTAATAGCCACTGGACACACAGGAGAGGGTTTGGGGAGATTGCTCAGGAAATGGAGCATGACTTTGGAGCACACATGAGGGGGCATATGCGCGCCACATTCGTCCTTGTGTTCTTAGCGTCAGGTAAATACACCACACGTACACGTTCCCCTCCCCCCATCCTCAGAGGGACTCTGTTCCTTCCTCGCCTTCCACTCAATCAGCAATAATTTGTGTCTAATTCACAGAACAGGATCTTGCTCTCATCATTAGCACCAAAGCACACGTTCTCCTCCAAGAATCCAACTTAATGATCTTCTGGTTTTGCTCCTCATAATCGAATGCCTCTAAAGCCGTCTTCCTCTCCACAAGCTAACTTCAATCACCGAGCTGCTCTCAGGATTTTCACAGACTCTCGCAGCCAGCGAATTGTCTTCATCCCAAATCTCGTCTCGCATAATCAAACTTTCTCCAGACTTTCTCATGCTACACATTACAGGAATGCTCCAGGCTCAATACAAGTTAAGCGCAATGAACAGCACTTGTGGCATTATGTTGATTAACACAAAAATGTATTTTCTCTCGTCCCCCCTTTTCTCTAAAGAAAAAAAAGCAGAAGCAGCAAAAATCTGGGTTACAGTGAGGCACTTAAAATGAAAGTGATGAGGGCAAATTCCTAAATCTCAAAATATTCTTTATTTAATAAAACAGCTACAAGATATAAAAATTTGCATGTTGACATGGTTTTAGTGTAAATATGGTTTCTAACTTTTTTGGTATAAAAGTATTCAATTTTACTTTGGCAACTTGCCATGACAATGAAACAGTTAAAACCATAAATGATTGATTCAATTAAATGATTAAAAAGGGTAATTTAAACAGCTTTACTGCTATATTAAAGCTGTTTAAACAGAACAATAAATGTAAATGTTTTATCAAATTAAAACCTTCGAGTATCTGCTTGAAAATCGTCTTAACAATTTGCCCTATTCATATCCATTTCAAGTGCATCACTGTAACCAATATTTTTTTTTTGCTTTTTTTTCTGAAGAAAATTAGGAAAAGGTTTAAATGCATTTTTAGTTTAATCAACATTATGCCACATCTGCTGTTAATTCAATTCAGTTGAACTGGAATATTCCTTTAATATTCAACTTGCTAATAACTTTCATTGAGACACATACACGTACCATGCTTCAACATGCTAAAAACTTTCTGCAACATGCGCAAACCCTCACTAACATCCACTATACATTCTTCTGACTTCCTGTTGCATTTTCCAAAATATTTTAAGTCCTTTGATTTAAATGTTAGACAAAGATTTGTTTTGCTGTTCAGATGTTTAGGGCACAGCTCAAGGAGATTATGTCTATGTGAACACAAATAAGAATCAACAAATGACCTTTCTCAGACAGAACAACAGCAAAATCAAAGTCGTGAACCTATCACACATACAGCCACTCAAGCCATACCTTCTACAGCCCCAGCAACTGCTATTGGCCCACAAATGCATGTCATCATGAAAGAGGAGGTTGCTTCCCTTCTGTAGGACAAAAGGGCACTATTTGGAAGCTGGTTGACCAATGCTTTACTCAAACGCACACATGGCAAACAACTTACAGAGTGTGGTGTGTGTAAACTGATAAGATGCCTGTGGAATTACAAAGAGATCCTGGATGTCACAGCACATCCTCTTGGTTATGTGTCAATTATGAAACCTGGAGAGGGTCATCAGTCAACATCTTAAATAATGGAAGCAGATGTTCATTTCACATCGTTCTGTCTCTTTCACACTCTAATACTCACGTCTAAATGCACACAAACACTGCGTCATTGATCGGCTCACCACAATTTAAATTTGCATATTAAAATCTCTCGTCCGAGCTGCTTGAATGAGCCGAACGTTCCCGGGAAAAGGAGTAAATAATTCAAGCAATCATGGCTGGACTCCATGTAATCCCCTGTAAGAATTCCATCAAAGAGCTATCAAACAACTGCCCCGAATAATCTTCACTCGTTTGCCAATGATACGGATGCTGCTTCAAGCCCACTGGCCATTAAACATGAATTTGTGAGTCCTCACAAGAGAATTTAGTTTAGTTTTTTTTGGATCTTACAATCTGCAGGTGTAGCCATAATTAAACCAAAAACAGATGTGTTTGAGTTGTGGATTCAATCTAAACTCATCATCATCATCGGGTTGTTTTTGAGAATATCAGACAGTGGAAAAAAGTAGAACTACAGAGTTATGTTTAATTTCAAAAGCTGCCCAATCACATATTCTGCACGATGCCATTGGCTTCCCTGGCAGCGGCCCAGCAGGAA